AAACTGTTGACAATTTTTGACTCCAATGCCATCACAGCTACCCCTCTTATATCTGCAGTTGTGGCAAGGAACAGAAGAATGGAAGTTCATGTATGGAGTGGGGAGAATGGGGAAAAGAGTTCCAAGGTGGTTGAGTTTGTACCTGAGAACAGCACACTTAGAATTTACAAGCTTAACCTTTCAGGGACTTGTAGGGTTACCTGCTCTTTAGGGATGAACTTTACCGTGAAGTCGCTTGACATGACCGGAGTTAAGCTAAAATCCCGGTGTGCCAAGGAATTTAGGTTGGTTTTGGAACAAAACCAGACTCTCAAAGAGGTAAACTTGTCTAGAACATGCCTTAAAGACAAGGGCATTGTGTATATTGCAGCTGGCCTCTTCAAGAACAGAAGTCTGCAAACCTTACATCTAAGTGGAAATTGGTTCAGTGGAATGGGTGTGGAGCATTTATTATGCCCTTTGAGTAGATTTTCAGCACTTCAAAGGCAAGCCAACACTACTTTGGCATGTATTACTTTTGGAGGAGAAAAAACAAGAATAGGAAGGGATGGTCTAGCTGCTATTGTACAGTTTCTTAAAACAAATGAAACAGTGAGGCAGTTGGGAATTCATGATGATGAGAGTTTGAGAGCAGATGACTTTGTTAAAATCTTCAAGAGTTTGGAGAAGAATGCTAGCTTGAAATGCTTGTCTCTTCAAGGATGCAAACGGGTGGAGGGAGAGATTTTGCTGCAGACAATTATGGAGACACTGCAGATAAATCCTTGGATCGAAGATATTGATCTCTCCAGAACACCTTTGCACAACTCTGAAAAGACTCGGTTGATTTATCAGCGATTAGGCCAGAATGAGAAGACTGAACCAGATATGGATTCGGTCAAGGACATGCCTCTAACAGAACCCAAAAGTTGCAGAGTTTTCTTTTGTGGCCAAGAATGTGCAGGTAAGGTTGAGTAAAAAATTTCATCTTGAACTGGTTATAGTGAAGAGAAAAATTATATAATTTTAGGTACTCCAAAATAGATATAAATTCTTAAAAGTGAAATAATTTCATGAGTAGATGTTTTACTATTGATTAATTCCATGGCACACCATCTCAAAACTATCCAAGTAAAACAAGTTCATGTAGGCAAATTAATCTCCATTCTTTTCATATCAACATAAGCTAAACACAAATCAACTTGAAGCATAGTTGATAGTTTGTACTTTTCAGGTAAAACCGCACTTTGTCATTCAATAGCACAAAATTTCTCTGCTTCGGCACTTCCGTACTTGGATCAAGTCAGAACAATAGTCAACCCAGTGGAGCAAGCTGTCAGATCAGTAGGAATGAAGATAAAAACTTTCAAAGATGAGGATACAAGGATTTCAATATGGAATCTTGCTGGTCAGCACGAGTTTTTATCTCTCCATGATCTTATGTTCCCAGGGCATGGGAGTGCATCATTTTTCATCATCATATCAAGTTTATTCAGGAAACCAAGTAACAAAGAACCCAAAAGTTCAACCGAAATTGAAGAGGATCTGCAGTATTGGCTCAGGTTCATAGTTTCCAACTCTAAAAGAGCAATACAACAGTGCATGCTACCTAGTGTTGCTGTTGTTCTCACACACTCTGACAAAATCAACCAACCATCACAAAATTTGCACCACACGGTGGATTCAATTCAGAGGCTCAGAGACAAGTTCCAAGGCTTTGTTGATTTTTACCCAACTGTATTCACAGTTGATGCAAGATCATCAGCATCAGTTAGTAAACTCACTCATCATATCCGAAAGACAAGCAAGACAATCCTCCAAAGAGTGCCACGGGTTTATCAACTTTGCAATGATCTGATACAGATTTTATCAGACTGGAGATCTGAGAACTACAACAAACCAGCTATGAAGTGGAAAGAGTTTGGTGAACTATGCCAAACGAAAGTTCCACCTTTGAGAATTCGATCAAGACATGACAATAAAGAGAAGGTGGAAATGAAGAGAAGAGCTATTGCTACCTGTCTTCATCACATGGGTGAAGTGATTTATTTTGATGAGTTGGGTTTTCTAATTATAGATTGTGAGTGGTTCTGTGGTGAAGCACTTGGTCAGCTCATAAAGTTGAATGTTAGGAAGCAACACTCCTCAGAAAAAAATGGATTTGTTAGCAGGAAGGAATTGGAAAAAATTTTAAGAGGAAGTTTGCAAAGCCCTATCCCTGGTATGGGTTCAAAGGTGTTTGAGAATTTAGATGCTAGTGACCTTGTGAGAATGATGCTAAAACTTGAACTTTGTTATGAGGAAGACCCATCAGATCCAAATTCTCTGCTATTGATTCCTTCCATTCTTGAAGAAGGGAGAGGAAAGCCTCAGAGGTGGCAGCTAAGCATGCCAGACTGTGTTTATGCAGGACGTCATCTTGAGTGTGATGATTCAAGCCACATGTTTCTAACTCCTGGTTTCTTCCCTCGTTTACAGGCAAGAGTTTCTCTACCACACCTCTTTGTCCTAATTTTCACTGCTTCCAATTGTTTCTTGCAACTCCTTTTTCCTGAAATTATTACATTCACTTAATATATCAAGGTTTGATCTAGAGTTGTTTACTTTCTGATGGTGGATGACCTAACTCAAATGAGTTTCGTAGAATGCAAAAGCATATAAAATGTAGTTTGGAAAGAAATATAATTAGAATCCACCTGCTTTGGTTGTTTATAAACACATTATAGATAATATCCCTAGTTATATGCAAACTATTTACTATCTTCAAACTGCTTATTTTTTTTATCCTCACTCCTAAAAAGCTAAAATATCTAGGATTTTGGATTTTCTTGATTTTTCTCTGTTTTTGTTGCAGGTGCAACTTCACAACAGAATTAAGGCTCTAAAGGATCAGCATGGGGCAACTTACAGTCTTGAGAAGTACCTTATTTCAATCAGCATTAATGGAATCTACATAAGAATAGAACTTGGAGGACAGTTGGGTTACTATATTGATGTCCTTGCATGCTCCACCAAAAACTTGACGGAAACTTTAAGAGTCATTCATCAACTTGTTATCCCCGCAATCCAAAGTGTTTGCCATGGGATCCCCTTGACTGAGAATGTCTTAAGGCCTGAATGTGTGAGAAAACTGACACCTCCTAGATACAGAAAAACTCAATTTGCTTCCCTGCAGCAACTGAAAGAAGCACTACTTTCACTTCCAGCAGAAAGCATGTATGATTATCAACACACATGGAGTCCAGTCCTAGACTCCGGTAAGCCTATTCTTCAAGATGGATTTGATTTTGCAAGAGACCTTTTATCAGATGATGACTTCCGGGAAGTGTTGCATCGAAGGTATCACGACTTGTACAATCTTGCACAAGAACTGCAAGTTCCTCCAGAAAATAACCCTGAAGGGCAATCTATAGCCTTAAGAGATGAAGCTGCAAGGGTTGAACCAACCTTTGGTGGCATTGCCAAAGGGGTGGAAGAAGTTTTGCAAAGGCTCAAGATTATTGAGCAAGAAATCAGAGACTTGAAACAGGAAATCCAGGGCCTCAGATATTATGAACATAGACTTCTCCTCGAGCTTCATCACAAAGTGAACCACCTTGCCACCTTCAATGTCCAGGTTGAGGAGAGGAAAGTCCCTAACATGATATATTTTGTAAGAACAGAAAACTACACAAGGAGATTAGTCACCACCATGCTTTCCGGCATGAATGCTCTCAGACTTCACCTGTTATGCGAGTTCCGGGGACAAATGCATGTTGTGGAAGATCAGATGGGGTGTGAAATCATGCAAGTTGATAATGCTGCTGTGAAGTCTTTGGCTCCATACATGAAAAAGTTTATGACATTGGTAACTTTAGCTCTTAAAATAGGAGCTCATCTTGCAGCTGGAATGGGGCAAATGATACCTGACTTGAGTAAGGAGGTGGCTCATCTGGCTGGCTCTTCAGTTCTCTGTGGTGCAGCTGGAGCAAGTGCAGCTGGTGTTTTAGGTGCTGCCGCTATGGGTCGTAGAAACAGGTCCATGGAAGGTTCAAGGGACATTCAACAAGACTTAAGAGCAGCACAGCAATGGGTGGTTGATTTCTTAAGAGAGCGTAAGTGTTCCTCAGGGAAGGATATTGCTGAAAAGTTTGGACTGTGGCGAGTCAGGTACAGGGACAATGGTCAAATTGCATGGATATGCAGGAGGCACATATATGCAAGATCTGCAGAGATAATTGAAGTACCTATTTGAAATCCTTATGTAGCACTAAGAAGTAGGAACCTTAGCTTCCAAGTTTCTTCTCGTCATTGTTTTTTTTTTGTGTGTTTATATTCCCACTATAAATATAGCATGTAATGTAATGACGTTCTCCACCATTTATAATATAATATATTCTATCGTAAAGAGTGTATTTCAAATTTATTAAGAATGTGCTTAACTTTTCATGCATTGTAAATGTAAATAATTTTTTTACGCTGACTTCTAGTAAAAAATAATTATATAAAACTAAACGATTTTATGTGACAATTTAAGATACTTTTACACTGTTAAGTGCTTGTATGAATAAACATGACCGTTCCAAAAAGTTGAACTACAGGGAAATAAGGGTTATCCGCGATCCTGTATGGTATGAACTTTTTCATGCGAAATGAAAGAAAGCAGAGTCTTGTACATTTTGCTTCATCTACACTTTGCTTTCACCATGTGAATGTGGGACCACATTATAACTAGTGCTTACTGATTATACACTTGATTAACATCTGGTGAGATGAAATCCGATTCCACAATAATTGACATTAAAAAACAAAAGAACGATGACAAAGGAAGAAGGTATCACAAAAGTTCATGAAGCAGTTAAGATAGCAACAAGCTTGTGAAAGTACAAAGTTATATTCCCTGTAACCTACAACCAAAATGTGATGAAATACAGAAGGGGAAACCACACAGGATAGTACATTATTTCACTTCACTACTGATCAGTTTTCTTCTAAAATCTACAGTGATTGCTCGAAATCCCTTGAACAAGGGATGTAAAAGATCAGAAGAAAGCTCGGCTGCCATAGAACACACGGGAATTATTGCTCTTTGATGGCTGTAGTTTCTGCTCAGTGGTTGAATTTCCTGAGCTAGTTGGTTCACTTTCAAAGTCCATAGGGAGCTTCATTTTTGCTAGTGACTCAGTGAATTGCTGCATGCTTTTCATGTACATGTCTACTATATCCTGCTGCACCACCTTTGGCTCAGGCTCAATGTTCACAGTCACAACAGGCTTAGGGAATGAGTCACTAGGAACCCCACTTGAGGAATCACTGTCACCATCTTTGACATCCTCATTTTTGTCCTCTTTGGTGCCAGAAACTTGCTCCTGACAGGGAGACTTAGAAGCAGCAGCATCAGATGATTCTGAGCTTGCAGGCACAGAAGGGGAAGAAACCCCATTAGTTGACACACTGCTGGGTGGGGAATCAACCTTAGGAGGCTGAACAGACTCACCACTGCACGCTGAGAAGCTTTCCACAAGCCGAACACCGGCTTCACAACTGCGATTTTCGGCATCAGAAGTAGCCAGGCTGTCAGAGCACTGAGTCTCTTCACATGGAATGCCAAAGTATTCTGAAACCATCAAGTGGTCTTCATTAGCAATCTTGGGATCTGGGAACTCAATTTTGTCTAATTCCTGGGCCAGAGATTCGGATGTTTCCGAATCCTGAACAGGAGCACCTGTGGCCACCTTGCTTGGCATTGCAGAAATTGCCATAACATCGGGTGAAGCACCCGTGTAAGAAAGTGACAACTGAACAAAACCTGAAGGAGAATGGAATAGATCAGTTGAAGAAAGAGAGAACTCTTTCTCCAGTTTCCCATTCTGCACTAGTACTTCAGACAAAGGCACCAAAGTAAAACCAAGCAACTGGTCTTCAAGATAATTCTTCACCCTGCTAAGCATCCATATCTCACATTTGAGAGAAGCATCAACAGTTCTAACATTGACTTGAAGATTCTCATTAAACACAGGGTTCCTTCCTCCTCCATTGATGGTTTTGGTAGACACAGTGTTCTCAGGATTACTGGTCAGGCAAATCCTAGCGTAAACATCTTGCTTGTGGTATATGCAAATGTTTTGAATGTCCCTGGCCTGATGTATGTAAACATCAAGCACTCCAAGACACTCCTCTACATTTGACATTACAACTTCCTTCCCATTCACTTCAATGTCCTTGGACAAGGGACTAGAGTTTCCTGAGAAAACTTCAGACTTGTGCTTCTCACCGTCACCCAAAACTGAGCTCCTGAAGGGTGACACGACAGATTGTGGGGAATCCATGGTGATATCAAGGTAACCAGGAACCTGGCAAACCAGAAAGAGCTACAAGAACGTCAATTCACCCCAAGTTCAAGCAAACTAGGACAGAAGACACAAATGATACTTTGAAGTTAAATCCCACAGCAAGAAACGTGTAATAAATCAAATACTGAACAACCTAGTACTAGCAGAAGAACACAAAACTCGCTAATCCAGAACCTTGCTCAACAAAGCACAAACTCCAACAAACTACCCCAAAAATCTAGGCTGAAGCAGATCCAAAACTAGAAACAAACTTCACTGCATGTAAACCAACATGGAAAGGAATAAACGAAGAAAAGAAAGGCAACACTCTACCCCAAGGCGAGAGAGAAATAGGAAGCCTGAACTTGACAACTTGAGTTCCCTTGAGAGGCAACTAAGAATTAACAAAACTTGAAGCAGAAGTCCTCAAAATTGAAACTTTCCAGTGAAGTACTCACAGACCCAGAATAAGCCAAGCTTAAAAACTAGCAAGAGCAATAAAGGGCAGCGCCAAGTTTCATCATATTCCAATAAAGCAACCAACTTTATCTGTTTTCCTGCACAGAAACACTACCAGCGGAATCCAAGGGAGGGCACGGTGACCCAGGACACGTCAGTCACAGAATTCTAAAACCACCCCTTTAAAAATTTCCCTTCAAATCACACAACAGCACTAAAAAACAAATTACAATTCAGAGAGAGAAAACCATGGAAAGCGCACAACATAAAAAAAAAAAAAAAAAAAAAAGAAGAAGAAAAGGAAGATAGATGTAGATACCGAAGATGATGAAGTTTTATATTTTACCTGGCTTGGGTTGAAAGTCAAAGTAAGAAGAATCTTGGGGTGTGGCTCCAAATGAAATCCAATCCACAATCAGAGGATGTCCCAGTTCGTGAATCGAGGTGGTGATTCAGAAAGAACAAAAAACTATGAACTTTGGTGTGTTGTGGAAAGGAAAGGGATGTTGGTGACTGCTAGTTAGAATAAGAAATGTGTTTGAGGTGCTTCTGGGAGTGTATGGATCCGTGTAGGGAACATGGTCGCAGAAGAGTGCGTATTTGGCAGAGTATATATTGAACATGACAGGCTCACATAAACAAGATTGCTTTTTTTAGCGTATAAAAAAATATCAATCGTATGTTGCTTAGTGTACTACTCTGATGCTTAGTTCTGCCTAAAACAAAAAAATACAAAACTATGTTGCTTAGTTACATGATTACATCCGTCTCTAATATATACATATACAATAAAATTAAAAAATGTATTAAATTTAAAATCTAAATTACTATTTTCTAAAAGAAATAAGTTAACAATTTTATACTAAATGTAAATTTCCGAATTTTGTAAGTAATTTACAAGTGTATGTTAAATTACTATATTACTATGATTATAATTTACTATTTTTCTCCCTTAAAGATAAATAGGTATAAGTTAATAAATTTAACATATATGTGTGTAGAAGAAATTCATGACAAAAGGATTATAGAGTAATTGGTTCACGTGTTGAATGGTAAAGCAAATTGAAGCATCACTATCATAAACAAATAATTAGCATGTTTATAAGCTAATTACAAATAAAAAAAAAAATGAAATATGAAACCCAAGAAGAAGATGATAGTATAAAATAATAAATAGTAAAATATATGTACATTAATGTAGGGATGGAGCACGGGACACACCGACCCACGCCATGGCCCTATGATGAGGAGAGAGACAAATGGAAGAGGATTTGAGTGGGTGTTTTGCAAGTGGGACATCATCGTATGCTTTTAGTGCATATCATGTGACTTTTCTTTCCATACACATCAATTAACAACAACACTTATTATCTCTTTATTCCAACTTTATACTAATTCTCTATTCTATGCTACCATTTAAGGAATAAGGACCCCTTCCATTTTCAACTCTTTTTCAAACACCATAAATGTTACCCCATTTATTCAATGAAAACACAGAAAAAATGTCTATGAAAAATTATGACAAGAAATTTTATTACTCTAATAAAGTTATTAATACTATGTCAAGCACCAAGTGTTTGTATAAATATAAATTTTGTGTAAACAATATTTGGGTTACATTGACAAAAAAAAGGTCACTATTCACTTCAATTAATAACAAACATAACTTCAATCTAGATTTTTATTAATTATAGTTTTTTAAAGTTTCTTTTATAATAAAATTAAGTAGTAAGTTAGTAAATCATAAACCTTAATAATGATATTTTTTTATGAATTTTTATTGTGTATAATTGTTTTTATAAATAAACCAAATTTGTTTGAATTTATATTTATTAATTATCACGGATTTTAATTTAGTATTAGATGAAAACGATATTTATTTATTTTATTATAAGTGACTCCAAATATGTTATAGTTGTAATATTTGATTTTTATAATGATGTTTTACACATTTATTAAAAAAATATGTGTACCGAAAATCTTTTTCTTTCGAAAAAAAAAAAGAATATAAATTGAATTAAGAAAAAAGTAGGATGGGTAAAATATATTGATCGTGTATTGTTATTAAATTAAATTGTTTATTTGTTTAGGTATATATGTTTTTAAAAAATTATATTTAGTGTTATAAATAAAAAAATAAAATTTTATATTTAGAATAGTTCGGAAATTTGTGAACAGGACCTAAACTTAACGGATATAAAATAGTTTTATACAGTTTTCTAATGAGTATATATAATTGATTATAACTATCCTATCATCACAATATACCAGAGTAATTTGATTTGATTTGATATACATGTATACATGTAATAAATCATATTTAAAATAAAGTATTTAATATAAAAATATTTTTATTAGTACACGATATGATATACTCAATGATTAAAACACTCAAATTATAAGTAAAAAGGAAAAAGATATAAATAGTACGTAATAAAGATAAATTAATTATTCGAATAATATTTTGATTTATAAATAGATAATTTTTTTAAAGATTAATATTATATTCTAAATTTAAAAATTTTATGGTCCATTAAAATTAAGAGGACATTATATATTCTCTAACTATATAACTATATTTACTTAGGGTATGACTATTTATAATATTATTCATCCCGATATATATTTTTTTATAATTTTTGGATAAGTCATCGATAATCTTTAATAAGTTTCTCATTTATTTATATTTTAATCTATTTAATTAGGACTATCAATATAATATAGGATCGAATTTGTATAAATACAATAGTCATATTAATACCACATAGTATCTTTTTGGATACCTACAATCATATACATCTTATTCAACTATGGAACACATTCCTAGTTCAACTTAACCTTATATTTATAAATATATATCAATAGATTACGAGTCATTTTATTAACTTAACTAAACCTTAATAAATATATTTTAAACATATAATATCATTATATCATCTTATAATTCATCATATATGTCATTTTTTTATTTGTACAAAATTCTATTACATATGTCTTGCTTAAGTGAGAATTCTTGTTTGATCAAAAATATACTAGAAAACATTTTAAACTTCTAGGACTTTTTACTTAAGTAAAAATACTCATTTGAAAATTTCACCCTAGAGACTTTCGCTTGAGTAGAAGTTTGGTTACATTGATTATCTTTTCTATCACTTAATGAAATTAATCTCACTTGAGTAAAAAGACTCTCACTTGAGCGAACTGTCACCACCTTAAACCACATTTTTCATAGTCTTACAATTATCTAATACAGGTGAAAAGTGAGGTTTGCCTAATTTTCAACATTTTCTCTTTCTAATATCCAATAATATAACTCATTTATACCACAATTATACAATAAAAATGTCACACAACACAAAAATACACTAGTGCAAAATACATAAATGACGATGCTATTCATCAATAGTTATTGCAAAATTACTATTGAAATAGACGTGGTGACAATTTTGTAATTAGTCAAATTTTTTAATGATAGTTATCATATGTGTGACAGTGTAGTAATTTAATGACAAGTTTCTAGTAATCGTTAGTATATTCTACATACAACGATGATTATTTATAAAACTATCACCATGTGTCTTATATATTATTCAACTTTTCATTTCTTTTTTCATTTTCTCTACGCTCTCATTCTCTTCGCTATAACTTAAACTACACATTTTTTACGTCTCTCCCTTAAATCTCTCATTCCCTGTTTTTACATCCCTTGCTTCCTCGTACGACTCGCTCACATCCTCCTTTCTTTCTCCTCCTCTCTTAGTCTTACGCCTCTGGTGATGTTGGTGTTCATGGTGGTTGGTAGAGGTCCATAGAGCTAACGGTGATATTTACAGTAGTTGGTGCATGATGGTTTCATGGTGGTGTGTAGGTTGTTGCGGTAGTCGTGATGATTCTGATAATTTGTTTAATTAATATTATTTTCCTCTAAGATAGGTAATTTGTCTAACTTTCTTAATAGAATTGAGATATTGTTTGAATTTACTTATGATAATGTACATTAATATTATACTCTTGAACCAATTAGTGTTGATATTTAACCTTTTGTAAATTTTTTAAATAATTAAATATATTTTTATATTCAAACATCATGTTGTTGCAATAATAATTTTCATTGAAATCACAATAATGATGATTTTTCAACAATTAACAATGTAATTTTAACTAATTAAAAAAAGAGTAAACTTTTAACGAATTTGAACTAATAACTAATCTCAAAGTTGAAACGTTATATGTCATATAAGAAAAAAAATATATTTTTAACTATGAAACATATAATTTATTTATCACATTAAATAAAAATAAAATGCCAATAATATAATTTATCAAATATTCTTTCTTAAACTCACCAAAAACTAAATTTTAAATTATCTTACCTATATATATATATATATATATATATATATATATATATATATATATAATATAATATAATGAGTCCCCGTTCCTATGTATAGTAACTGAAATGGAACAAAGCGTATAAATGATCATGAATATTAATTTTAAATGTATAAAAAATAAATTTTAATATATCATCATAT